ACCAAAGTGCTGGGATTACAGGTGTGAGCCACCATCCAGGCCTAAGAGTTATTGTTAAGGCTAACCTACAAATATTTTTAGGTATTTTTATGGGTTTAAATATCCATAAATCTTTGAAGAAGGCTCACTTTCAGTTAAGAATGAAATATTTCAATAAATCTGAAATACAAGAAAAATTTTGGATTAAAATTTTTCTCATCAAATCAGGAAAATGTTATACAATCTATTGGATTGACTTTATGTAGCAGAAGCATGGATTCAGTCAAGAAGCCCTTCTGAAGGAATAGAAGGCCCTAGATTCCCAGGTAAGCTTCTGAAGCAAATTCAGATAAAATCTACTATTGGGCCAGGTGCGGTGGCTCACGCCTATAATCCCAGCACTTTGGGAGGCCGAGGCAGGTGGATCACGAAGTCAAGAGATCAAGACCATCCTGGTCAACGTGGTGAAACCCCGTCTCTACTAAAAATACAAAAATTAGCTGGGCATGGTTGTGCACGCCTGTAATCCCAGCTACTCGGGAGGCTGAGGCAGGAGAATTGCTTGAACCCAGGAGGCGGAGGTTGCGGTGAGCCGAGATCACGCCATTGCACTCCAGCCTGGTTAACAAGAGCGAAACTCCGTCTCAAAAAAAAAAAAAAAAAAAAAATCTACTATCATACTTTGGGAGGCTGACTTAGATTGAGAAAAACAAAGTGATGGCCAAACTATTTATATTCTGGGGGAAACTTCTACAGAAAAGATGTCTGTCTTCAGAGCTCTTAGGGAGTATTTAGTTTTCCCCTGTGGTTGAATTTGCTTTCTACAATCTGGAATGCAAAGGGAAACTAATACAGTAAGTGAGCTGGGCGGCTAGAAGGAGATTTCTGCCAGCAAGTAACTCTGCTTGACTTGCATTCGTGAAAATATTACTGCTTTCTGGCAGAGATGGCTTCCTCAATTATCAACAGAAAGTCACGCTTCGGTTAGGCGGTGGCTCATGCATGGTGGTGTGGAGGCCAAGACAGGAAGATTCCTTGAGCCCAGGAGTTTGCGACTGGGGTGGGCAACATAGGGAGACCCCCCTCATCTCTACAAAAACAAAAAAAGGCATTTTTGGTTTGTCTCTTTCCAAATTACACAGACCACTTGGAACTCACTGAGGAGCAAAATCAGACAGACCAAGGCTTTGAGAAGAATAGTGGACACAGAAACAAAGAGTACATACACACGTAAGAGACAATAGAAAAATATAAAAAAGCCGGTTAGGTGTGGTGGCTCACGCCTGTAATTCCAGCACTTTGAGAGGCTGAGGCAAGTGGATCACCTGAGGTCAGGAGTTCGAGACCAGCCTGGCTGACATGGTGAGACCCCCGTCTCTACTAATAATACAAAAATTAGGCGGGCATGGTGGCACAAGCCTTTAATCCCAGCTACTCAGGAGGCTGAGGCAGGAGAATTGCTTGAACCCAGGCGGTGGAGGTTGCGGTGAGCTGAGATCGTGCCACTGCACTCCAGCCTGGGCAACAAGAGTCAAACTCTGTTTCAAAAATAAAAAATAAAAAAGCAGTGTTACCTAACATTTTAACCTTAAAATAAAACACATTTTGGAACTCATAGGAATATACACTTATGGGCATTTTAGCTGTGTGGCAAAAAGGAAGAACAAATTTGATCTGTTTGAATCTAAATGATAGTTTTGTTATAATGTCAGAAAGCATGCATGCATACAAGACGGTGGAATATATGAAGTGTTGAAAGACAAAAACAAGCCACCAACCTACAATTCTTTTTGTTGTTGTTTTAGAGATGGGGCTCTGGCTACACTGCCCAGGCTGTCTTGAACTCCTGGCCTCAGTGATTCTCCTCCTTTGGCCTTCCAAAGTGCTAGGATTACGGTGTGAACTGTTGTGCCCGGCCCAACCTTTCCAGTTAAATTATCCTTCAGAAGGATAAATAGACATTCTTAGACAAAAACCAAGGGAATTCAGGTCCAGCTGACTTGCTCTGTAAGAAATGTTATTGAGAGAGGAAAAATGGTACGTAGGAAACTCAGTTCTTTTTATTTTTGAGTTTCGCTTTCACCCGGGCTGGAGCTGAGTGACTCAATCTCGGCTCACTGCAACCTCCGCCCCCATGTTCAAGTGATTCTCCTGCCTCAGCCTCCCCAGTAGCTGGGATTATAGGAGACCATGCCTGGCTAATTTTTGTATTTTTAGTAGAGATGGGGTTTCACCATGTTGGCCAGGCTGGTCGTGAACTCCTGACCTCGAGTGAGCTGCCCGCTCAGCCTCTCAAAGTGCTAGGATTACAGGTGTGAGCCACTGCACCTGGCCAGAAACTCAGTTCTATATAAAGAAAAGCAACTGGAAAGGAATAAATAAAGGTAAACAAACAAAAAAGATTTAGCCTGTCTTGGTACAAGTGCCTGTAATCACGGCTATTGGGGAGGCTGAGGTGGGAGGATCCCTTGAGGCCAGGAGTTCGAGGCAGCCTATGAAAGTGCCCGTGAACAGCTAATGCAATCAAGCTTTGGCAACAAAACATGACCCCATCTCTAAAAACAAGAGCTGCCAGTTTCGAAATCCTGTTTAGTTTACAACTGGAATATATTCTCTTAGAATATTTTCTGGGCTGGGTGCGGTGGCTCATGCCTGTAATCCCAGCACTTTGGGAGGCCGAGGAGGTGGATTACCTGAGGTCTGGAGTTAGAGACCAGCCTGGACAACATGGAGAAACTCCATCTCTACTAAAAATATAAAAAAAATAGGCCGGGCTCGGTAGCTCACGCCTGTAATCCTAGCACTTTGGGAGGTTGAGGTGGGTGGATCACCTGAGGTTAGGAGTTCAAGACCAGCCTGGCCATCATGGTGAAACCTCATCTTTAAAAAAATATATATGAAAAAAAAAATAGCTGGGTGTGGTGGTGGGCACCTATAATCCCAGCTAGTCAGGAGGCTGAGGCAGGAGAAATGCTTGAACCTGGGAGGCAGAGGTTTCAGTGAGCCAAGATTGTGCCATTGCACTCCAGCCTGGGTAACAAGAGCAAAACTCCATCTCAAAAAAAATTTTTTTATGTGAAAAGTACACACTTTCATAAAATTCTAGCACATCACCAATTATTTTGTACATGTTGTTTCCTCTGCCTAGGTTAGCCTCTGCTCTTCCCTCTTAGCCTGAAAAGATTCTTTGAGACTTTAAAAAACTTTTTTAAAAATAGAGACAAGGTCTTGCTATGGCCGAGGCCAATCTTGAACTCCTGGACTCAAGTGATCCTCCCACCTTGGCCTCCTAAAGTGCCGATTTGCACTATGTCTTCAGGCAAGCCTCATTACCTGAGTTTCTTCCTCCCTCCCTTTCTTTTCTTCCCTTCCTTCCCTCTATCCCTCCCTTCCTCCCTTCCTTCCTTCCATCCTTCCTTCCAGGCTGGAGTGCGGTGGGACTATCTTGGCTCACTGCAGCCTCCACCTCCTGGTTCCAGTAATTCTCCTGCCTCAGCCTGCTGAGTAGCTACAACTACAGGCAGGTGCCGCCATGCCTAGCTAATTTTTGTATTTTTAGTAGAGACGGGGTTTCACCGTGTTGGCCAGGCTCGTCTCAAACTCCTGACCTCAGATGATCTGCCTGCCTGGGCTCCCAAAATGCTGGGATTACAGGCGTGAGCCACCACGCTCCGCCACTTGAGTTACTCTTTTTTTTTTTTGAGACGGAGTTTCGCTCTTGTTGCCCAGGCTGGAGTGCAATGGTGCAATCTCAGCTCACCACACCCTCCACCTCCTGGGTCAGGCAATTCTCCTGCCTCAGCCTCCCAAGTAGCTGGGATTACAGGCACGCGCCACCATGCTCAGCTAATTTTTTTGTATTTTTAGCAGAGACGGGGGTTCACCATGTTGACCAGGATGGTCTCGATCTCTTAACCTCGTGATCCACCCATCTTGGCCTCCCAAAGTGCTGGGATTACAGGTGTGAGCCACCGCACCTGCTCTGAGTTACTCTTTTTGAGACAGAGTTTTGCTCTTGTTGCCCAGGCTACAGTGCAATGGTGCAATCTCCGCAAAATCTTGCTTCAGCCTCCCGAGTAGCTGGAATTACAGGCATGTACCACCGGGCCCAGCTAATTTTGTATTTGTATTTGAGACTGGGTTTCTCCATGTTGGTCAGGCTGGTCTCAAACCCCCGACCTCAGGTGATCCACCTGCCTCAGCATCCCAAAGTGCTAGGGTTACAGGAGTGAGCCACTGCGCTGGGCCGAGAGTTTCTTTAAAATGCAGCTTCCTCCTAACTCCAGAGACTGAGTCACTAGGATCTGCATTTTAGCAGAGTACCCTCCTCTCACACACACACAATTTTGGTGGAATGGTCTTTGCAATACACTTTGAGGAACATTGTATAAATCTTGACTTAGGGAAACAGTACTTTGTTTAAATAAAAATATTAGAGAAGTATAAAGGATCCCAGGTAGCTTCATACTGTCAAGCTGCCATCCTCAAATTCCAAACTATGGTCTAGTGAAAAAAAAAAAGTATAAATAATCCTAGTAAACAAATGTATTATTGTCCCTAGTGCTGTAGACAGTCTAAAGACAGGGAGAATAAGCCAATTATAAGCACACCTACATTTTTACATGTTACCTCTATTATAGCCAGGTATGTCACCTACGCTGGGAACTTACGACTTTCAGCTCCTAGATAAATGCAGGTGTCATATGCAAGTAGATACTGGTAGGACAATCATATTCATGCTCTTCATGGTAACAATGGTATAATTGGTTAATTTATTTTGATTGAGATGGAGACGCTATTTAGGCTCTACAGAATTAGCTGGTGTTCATCAGGTCAGCTTTGATGTGTCCTGCCCCTCAGCCTATGCATGTTATAATTGTTTTTGTATCTCTCATTTCTGCATAGGATAAAACAGGCTGGTATGCTAGCGTAAAGGGGGAGGCATTACTAGCCTTGTGTAGAAAGTCCTTATTTCCAGTGAAAACAAATTCAGTTATAAAATTGTGCACAGACAGACCAGAGAGCTGATAATTGATCTTTATTATACAGAAATGTGAAGACCATATGCGTTAAATGAGGTGTTTGGCAGTGAGCACTATGCAGATTCAAACTGAAGACATCTTCGTCTTATTGAGATATAATATAAAAATAAACACTAGGAGTTGCAAGAAAGAACTCAATTCAACTTCTATCCCCCAGTCAAGCTAAAACTTTCCACAGGAAAACCTGGTTTCAATTCATGCCGAATTGTTCAAGGAAAAGAAAAAGCTAACTCAGGTGGAGACAACACATGGACCAGCTTTTGTACTATTCGAGAGCCAGACTAATATTCAGCCTAATATTCAGCTCTATTCAGCCTCACATTTAGAGTTTGTTTCCCATTACAATTTATATCTCTATTCACCTAAGAGATACCTAAAGGGAAAAACAAAAAAATATGTTAATTGAGTTGGGGAATTTTTGTGAACTAAGTAGATTTGGCAGAGGAGATAAATGAATAAATCATTCACTGAATTACTTTAATCAGGAGGATTTAATGTCAGGTCTGGGTCATCTGTATTAGCCCTCTGACAGCCTGTTATTCTGTAATGGTCAAGAGGCATATCCCACTACAGTGTAATAAATGCGCAGCTCAGTGCCCATCCTCCTCATATCCTTAAATACTGGACTTGATCCCATTACAGTGTAATAAATGCGCAGCTCAATGCCCATCCTCCTTATATCCTTAAATACTGGACTTGATCCCACTACAGTGTAATAAATGCGCAGCTCAATGCCCATCCTCCTTATATCCTTAAATACTGGACTTGATATCAGCATGCTTTTGACACCAAGTTAGCCCTCTAAATAGGATCTTTCTTAATAAAGCTTCTCATTGCCCTCACTACTGAAGTGAAAAACTTATTAGAGATTTGGCCAGAATCTCCGAAACAAGACTGAAACAAACAAGACTGATGACTAGAGCACATCTGTGTATTAAATACAGACAAAAATACTCCCAGAACCCTTAAATACAGACAGACTTGATCAATTTACGTAGGAAGCCAAAAACAGGAAAGAAAAAGCTCTGGAGCTCAGATATACTGATATATTTACCAACTGAAACTTACAATTCCTTCAATTCAGTCAGAGCAGAGACATTTAAAGTAGCTGGAGGGGCAGGTGCAGTGGCTCATGCCAGTAATCTCAGCACTTTGGGAGGCTGAGGTGGAAGAACTGCTTGAGCCCAGGAATTCAAGACCAGCCTGGGCAACAAAGCGAGACCCTGTCTCTATTTAAAAAAAAAAAAAAAAGAGCTCAGTATGGTGGCATGTGCCTGTAGTCCCAGCGAGTTGGGAGACTGAGGCAGGAGGATCCCTTGAGCCCTGGAGGTCAAGGCTGCAGTCAGCTGTGACAGCACCACTGTACTCCAGCCTGGGCAATAGAGCAAGACCCTGTCTCAAAAAAAAGTGGACTGGGGGAAACGGGACAGTCATGTACTCCAAAGACGGAAATTTCCATGCCACCTCCCTTCCTCCCTTACAAATTCTAATGTTGACTGCATGAACGAGGTGTTGAGACAGACTTTTTTTCCTTCATTTAGACTTTTGCCTTAGTGAATAAGGGCACAAGATAAAGCTAAGAGGGATGAGAGAATGTATTTTTGGCTCCAGGACTTTGAGGTCCAGTTATTTGAATCTGGGACATTCTCATTAGGTTGTTAGAAAAGGAAAGATGAGAAAATCACTAGCAGGATACACAATTTCAGAGACCATATGCTACAAAAATTAGTTTTGTTTCTCATTGCTCCTTATTCAGCGACAGTTATTTCAAAAAGTTACATTATTTAGCAGAGTCTGAGAGACAAAGACTGTGAAAACATGTATTTAAGATAGAAAATAAACTTAGAAAAATATAATAGATGGTTTGCTTTTTATCTCCTTCACATTCTGTAGCTGGAGAACTCTAAATCCCCTTTAGATATTTCTGTTTATCCAAAAGCATACTGTTGAAGCTAAACCAAGAAATGGGCGGAAACGTTCGCTGGGGGTGTGTGTGGGTTCTCTCAGTTTATTCACCTATGGAGTGGAAGTGTGGGGAGAAACAAGGTCTGCTCTTAATGGCCAAGGTCTGTGGAGAAGCCCAGAAGTTGCTCTCTCCAAATCACAAGTCTGATTCAAGAAAAGGAAACAAAAATGATGAAAACATCTCATCACACAAAACTCAGTGATGAGGTCTCTGACAGTCACCAGCCAGCAGGGGAAAAGGAGAAACCCACCTGCGGGCTTTAAGATTTATTGAAGGCTGCTAGCACAGCCCAGATCATCTCTGTGGCACTAGGCTTTGTCCCTTCCACTTCGGGGTCCAGTTCTACTAAGTCCTTGGCTCGATTCATTGCCACATCATACTTGTCATCTGTCAGAGAGGAGAAGACATTCTCTAGCACATCAGAGGAGTGGGCTAGCACCAGGAGTGCTAGTGTTCGCTTGTCCATACGCTGAGGATCATTTACCCACCGCTCTAGTACGCTGTCTTGAAGCTTCTTCACTAGCCGCTGTTTCTCTGTTGTGTTGGTCACTGGATGAGTAGTCATGTCAAAGAGCAGGAAATTCTGCTTCTCGGTGGTCAGAATACCCTTCTCTACTAGGTTCTTCGCAATGCGCTCTCGTACGTTTCTCAGCTGGTACTGTAATTTGAAGGGGTTCCAGGTCTCGCCTATGAGAAAAAAGAAGTAGGACATAATGAACAGAAAGAGAAGAGCAGAATGAAAAACATAGTTATTTGGAACCTTGAATGGTTAAAGTGTTTAAAAGCATAATCTTTATTCATTCCTCAATTCATTAATCCTTAGTCCTTTAAAATCTGGTTTTGACTCCAACCACATTTCACATTAAACCAGCTTCAAAAAATGTCACCAAAGACTTCCCTATTGCTAGAGCCTACGGACTTTATTTCTGTTCTTATGTGACCTCTCTGCGACACTGTAAATTCTTTATGTATTTTTGAAATTCTCTTTAGGACAGTAGTCTCTCCCAGATGATTTCTACTCTGTATTGCTATTTGCTGTGAAGCTGAGAGGACTGAGGTTCTCTCCTCTACTTGTGGAGCATGAGCTCTATCCCAGGCCTGGTAGGCTGACAATACTGACTTCAATTGCTCCCATTCCAGCTTGTTCATAGATTAGAGTCTGAAACAGAAAAGGCAACCCAAGAAAACCAGGGGCTAACACCTTTCTTTCCCGGCACTTACTCATAGAGCAGGAGGGTATCACTCTAGGAGAAGTGGGCCCTCATGCAGAAGTTCTGCCCAGGAGGGAAGGCAGGCCTGAAAAATGAGGAGCTACAAAACTCTGCCTGAGAGGACGCACTTTATTTGGAACACAGTGTGGAGAATTCTGTGCCTAAGGGTGTTGAAAACCATAGAGATCTTGGTGGAGAGCAATTACGAGGGTGCTGCTACCTCTATGATACTGGTATGAAAAACCCAAATGGTGCCCAGGCCCGGTGGCTCATGCCTGTAATCCCAGCACTTCGGGAGGCTGAGGTGAATGAATCACAAGGTCAGGAGTTCAAGACCAGCCTGACCAACATGGTGAAATCCTGTCTCTACTAAAAATACTAAAATTAGCTGGGTGTGGTGGCAGGTGCCTGTAATCCCAGCTACTTGGGAGGCTGAGGCAGGAAAATCACTTGAACATGGGAGGCGGAGGTTGCAGTGAGGTGAGACCGCACCACTGCACTCCAGCCTGGGCAACAGAGCAAGACTCCATCTCGAAAAAGAAAAGAAAAACCCAAATGGCAAAGCCTCCAGACATTTAACAGAACCAGAGAGAGAGACAGCCAAGAAAAGCCCTTCTGGAATCATGACCAACACAAGGGTTGGGAAGACTGTGTGCCTGCACCAGGCTGAAAATCCATCAGGAGCAATCAGAGCAGGAGGTAGGGCTTGACTTGAGAGTATTCCCCAGGCCACATGCAGATCCATTAACAAAGGGTGAATACTTCACTGGCACCAAGGGCTAAAGCGCAACCCCTGACCAAACACTGGCTGGACAATAAGCTACTCTAACTCAGAGGCAACTCCTAGGAAGCTACATTAAAAAAAAAAAAAATGGTGGTGCATGGACGTGGTGGTGCATGGACGTGGTGGTGCATGCCTGTAGTCCCAGCTACTCAGGCGGCTGAGGCAGGAGAATTGCTTGAACCCGGGAGGCGGAGGTTTTGGTCAGCCGAGATTGCACCACTGCACTCCAGCCTGAGTGACCGAGCAAGATTTCATCTCAAAAAATGAAAAATAAAAATAAAATTTAAAAAATCTCATGCAGCCCTGGTATATGTCCAAGGATGTACTCTCTCTCAGAAGAAATCAGAGAGGGAAATTCCAAGCTGCTGGTTCCTCAATGAATGTGGGGCAAAATGTAAACTCTCTGATTTGTGATAGCTGTGTCAAAATCACACACACACATTCAACAGTAAAGGATAAAAAAAATCTAACTGGCTGAAGGGTCTTAAGCACAACCTTTGACTAGTAAGTGGCTTCTGCGGACCCACTGGCAACACATAGGGAGCTGGGCCAAAAGATAAAAACAAGAAAATATGAGCAGTGACATCAGAGGCCGCACACGACAAGAGAAACAGACTTCAGAGAGCTGCTGCAGGCAAGTCACCAAGTAAAGAAACAACGCACTAAGCAAACAACACAATGAAACTCTAGCGGGAAGCAGAAACCAATATAGCAGGTGTTCCCAAGCCCTGGACCATGGACTGGTACTGGTCCGTAGCCTGTTAGGAACCCAGGCGCACAGCAGGAGGTGAGCCATGGGTGAGTGAAGCTGAGCTCCGCCTCCTGCCAGATCAGCAGTGGCATTGGGTTCCCATAGGAGTGTGAACCCTATTGCGAACTGCACATGGGACGGATCTAGGTTACACATTCCTTGTGAGACTCTAATGATAATACACTTGAATCATACTGAAACCATCCTCCCGTCCCCAACCCCAGTGGAAAAACTGTCTTCCATGAAACCTGTCCTGGTGCCAAAAAGACTGGGGACAGCTGCAGTATAGTATCCAGAGGTGCACAATCTATTATCTAAAATGTCCAGTTTTTGACAAAAGAGTATGAACTATACAAAGAGTAAATTGTGACCCACTGACCCAGTCAGAAGAAAAAAAGCACGCATGGAAACCGCTTTCGAGAACACTGAAATGTTGGACTTTACAAAGACTACAAAGCAGCTCTTATAAATACATTCAAAGACCTAAGGGAAACCATGACTCATCATATAGAGAATATCAATAAAGACAGAAATTACAAAAAAGAACCATTTAGGCCAGGCGCGGTGGCTTATGCCTATAATCCCAGTACTTTGGGAGGCTAAGTGGGCAGATCACTTGAGCCCAGGAGTTCAAGACCAGCCTGGTCAGCATGGTGAAACCCCATCTCTATTTAAAATACAAAAATTAGCCAGCTGTGGTGGGTGCCTGTAATCCCAGCTGCTCAGGAGGCTGAGGCAGAGATTGCTTGAATCTGGGAGGCAGAGGCTGCAATAAGCCAAGATTGCGCCACTGTACTCCAGCCTAGGTGACAAAGCAAGACTCCATCTCAAAATCCCCCTCAACCCCCTGAAAAACCAAAGAAATCCTAGAGTTTAAAGGTACAACAAACAGACTGGGCTTGGTGGCTCACATCTGTAATCCCAGCACTTTGGGAGGCCGATGCAGGTGGATTACTTGAGGTCAAAAGTTTGAGACCAGCCTGGCCAATATGGCGAAACCCCATCTCTACTAAAAATACAAAATTAGCCCGGTGTGATACTGTGCACCCGTAGTTCCAGCTACTCGGGAGGCTGAGGCGGGAGAATCACTTGAACCCAGGAGTCGGAGGTTGCAGTGAGCCAGTATCGCAGCATTACACCCCAGTCTGGGTGACAGAGCAAGACTCCAAAAAAACAAAACAAAAAAACGTACAACAAACAGAATGAGAAATTCATTTAAGGATCTTAACAATAAATCTGAGCTGGCAAAAAAAGAATCAGCAAACTTAGAGAGAGATCAAAGGGATGGTGCAATATGAAGGACAAGGAGAAAAGAGAATGGAGAAACATCAACAGACTCAGAGAAATGTGAAATATCATCAACCTGACAAACATACATAAAATGGAAGCACCAGAAGGAAAGGAAAGAGGCAGAAAAAATCAGGAAGTAATGGCTAAAATTTTGCCAAATATGATGAAAAACACTCAACCACACATTTGAGAAGCTCACTGAACTCCAAGTAGGATGAACACAAAGAGACCCATATAACATCAGAGTAAAAATGTTGAAACCCAGAGGTAAATGGAGAATCATGGAAGCAGAAGAGAAAAATGACTTATCACATCATACTGGAACTTTGATAAGCTTAACAGCTGACTTCCCATTAGAAAAAATGCAGTCCAGAAGAATGAGTAGACTTACTCAAAGTGAGGGTAGAAACTATTAGCCAAGAATCTTATAACTGGCAAACTATCTTTCAAAAATGAAAGCAAAACAGGTGTGGTGGTGTGCGCCTATAGTCCCAGCTACTCAGGAGGCTGAGGCAGGAGAATCACTTGAACCCAGGAGGTGGAGGTTGTGGTGAGCTGAGATCACACCACTGCACTCCACACTGGGTGACTGAGTGAGACTTTGTCTCAAAAAAAAAAAAAAAAAAAAAAAAAAGGCAAAGAAAAATTTCTAAAAAATAAATACATTCCTAGATCAAATATATCTGAAAGACTAATGCCTGTAATCCCAGCACTTGGGGAGGCTGAGGTGGGTGGATCACGAGGTCAGGAGTTCAAGATCAGCCTGGCCAAAACAGTGAAACCCCATCTCTACTAAAAATACAAAAATTTAGCCAGGTGTGGTGGTGGGCACCTGTAATCCCAGCTACTTGGGAGGCTGAGGCAGGAGAATCACTTGAACCTGGGAGGCAGAGGTTGCAGTGAGCTGAGATCGCACTATTGCACTCCAGCCTGGGCAACAGTGTGAGACTCTGTCTCAAAAAAAAAAAAAAACTGAAAGAGTTCACTCCTAGCAGACCTGCCTTATAAGAAATATTAATACTAAAAACTAAAGGGAAGTTGTTAAGGCTGAAAGCAAGACATACCAGACAGTAATTTGAATCCACATGAACAAATAGTCAAAGTAAGTAATGATAGTATAAATACTTCATCTCTTAAATGAGTTATAAAGCAATTGCACAAAACAATATTTATATAATTGTTATTGCTGAGTTATAACTTAAAAAAAATTTAAACTTTTATACAAGGTTATAACAGAAATGTAATAATGGCACAAAGAAAGGGTAGGAAAAAAGTTGTACTGGAGTACAGAAAATGACACCAGATGGCAACTTGAATCCATTGGAAGAAATGAAGAAAACCAGAAATGATAAATAAGAAGGTTAATATAATAAACTCTGTGGCCGGGTGCGGTGGCTCAAGCCTGTAATCCCAGCACTTTGGGAGGCTGAGGCGGGTGGATCACGAGGTCAAGAGATCGAGACCATCCTGGTCAACATGGTGAAACCCCGTCTCTACTAAAAATACAAAAATTAGCTGGGCATGGTGGTGCGTGCCTGTAATCCCAGCTACTCAGGAGGCTGAGGCAGGAGAACTGCCTGAACCCAGGAGGCGGAGGTTGTGGTGAGCTGAGATCGTCCCATTGCACTCCAGCCTGGGTAACAAGAGCAAAACTTCGTCTCAAAAAAAAAACCACAAAAAAACAAAACTCTGTAAGAATATATTTGTGTTTTCTTCTCTTCTTTAAATAGTAATTATAACAATGAATTGTTGAATTTGTAACACATATGGATGTAATACATCTAACAATATTGGCATGGAGGCCCATGCCTGTAATCCCAGCACTTTGGGAGGCTGAGGTGGGCAGATTGCTTGAGCCTAGCAGTTTGAGACCAGCCCAGGTAATGCAGTGAAACCTTATCTAAAAAAAAAAAAAAAAAAAGCCCAAAAGCAAAAAAAAAAAAAAAAAAAAAAAACATATAGCAATATTTACAAAAAAAGAGGGAGAAGGAATAGAGTTATATAGAAGTTTCCTTGGAATTAAACACTGTATACATTTTATACCAATTAAACGTGGCATAAAATCTATGAAAGTAGATTTTCATAAGTTAGGATGTATATTATAAGCCCTAGAGCAACCACTAAGAAAACAGCACAAAAATAACTTTAAAATCATTAAAGGAACGAAAACATTACACTATAAATATCCACTACATAAATTTACTTTATTAGAAAATATTCACTCAATCCAAAAATGGCAGCAAAAAAGAAACAGAAGAATAAAAACGAAAAAGGGAGATACATATAAAGGGAAAAATGGCAGATAAAATTCAACAATATCAGTAATAACATTAAATGTAAATGAATTAAATACTCCAAGCAAAAGATACAGACTATCAGGCTGAATGAAAACAAAACAAAACAAAACACAAGAAATGATCCAACTGTATGCTGTCTACAGAAAACACACTTCACAGTCAAAGATACAAACAGGTTGAAACTAAAAGGATGGAAAAAGATTCAAATGTTCAGTTTTCAACAACAACAAAAAAATCGTAAGACATACAAAGAAATAGGAAAGTATGGCCTGTGCAAAGGAATAAAATATACCAACAGACTATATGTTGCATTTACTGGAGAAAGGCTTGAAAGCAATATATATATATATTTTTTGAGACGGAGTCTTGCTCTAACACCAGGCTGGAGTGGAGTGGTGTGATCTTGGGTCACCACAGCCTCAACCTCCCCAGCCTAAGAGATCTTCCCATCTCAGCCTCCTGAGTAGCTGGGACTACAGGCAGGTACCACCACATCCAGCTAGTTTTGTTTATTTATTTATTTGAGATGGAGTTTCGCTCTTGGTGCCCAGGCTGGAGTGCAATGCGCGATCTCTGCTCACAGCAACCTCTACCTCCTCCTGGGTTCAATTGATTCTCCTGCCTCAGTCTCCAGAGTAGCTGGGATTATAGGCATGGGCCACCATGCCTGGCTAGTTTTGTATTTTTAGTAGAGACGGGGTTTCTCCATGTTGGTCAGGCTGGTCTTGAACTCCCGACCTCAGATGATCTGCCTGCCTCGGCCTCCCAAAGAGCTGGGATTACAGGCATGAGGCACCGCGCCCAGCCTGTTTATGTTTTATAGCGACGAGGTCTCACTGTTGACCAGGCTAGTCTCAAATTCCTGAACTCAAGTGATCTTCCCACCTGGGCCACCCAAAGTACTGGGATTACAGGTGTGAGCCACCATACTCGGCTACAATGGTCTTTTTTTTTTTGAGACTGAGTTTCACTCTTATTGCCCAGGCTGGAGTGCAGTGGCACAGTCTCCGCTCACTGCAACCTCCACCTCCCAGGTTCAAGTGATTCTCCTGTCTCAGCCTCCCAAGTAGCTGGGATTACAGGTGCCCGCCACACACCCAGCTAAATTTTGTATTTTGTAGAGATGGGGTTTCACCATGCTGGCCAGGCTGGTCTTGAACTCGTGACCTCGGTGATCCACCTGCCTTGGCCTTATAAGGTGCTGGGATTACAGGTGAGAGAGCCACTGCACTCAGCCACAACTATCTTAAAGATGCTCAAAGATAAATAAAAATATGGTCAAAGACAGGAAAATGATGTATGAACAAAATGAGAATATAAATAAAGAGATAGAGAAAGGGACCAAAAGGAAATTCTGGAGCTAAAACTTATAATAACTGAAATAAAAAAATACACTGGAGGGGCAGGTGTGGTGGCTCATGCCTGTAATAGTAGCACTTTGAGAGGCCAAGGCAGGTGGATCACTTGAGGTCAGGAATTCAACATCAGCCTGGCCAACATAGTGAAACTCCATCTCTATTAAAAATACAAAAATTAGCTGGTGTGGTGCTGGGTATCTGTTATCCCAGCTACTCAGGAGGCTGAGGCAGGGAGAACTGCTTGAACCCAGGAGGCAGAAGTTGCAGTGAGCTGAGATTGTGCCACTGTGTTCCAGCCTGGGCGACAGAGTAAGACTCTGTCTCAAAAAAAAAAAAGTTTCTTGTGAAGAATACCGTTAAAGAGTTTTTGTGGTGGGATGACAGAAGATAAGGTGAAGCTTTGGAAAACCAGGTATCAACTGACCATGCTTTTTCTGTCCCTCATTAGTATTAAATAGCGAACCATATCTATCTCATCCAGCATGATGAATTTCGGTACTTCTATTACCAAATTTCAGGGTAGGATAAAGATAACAAAGTATGAAATTCACACATTATTTTAAGCCATCTCACCAGTGAGCAGCTCTATCCATGTCTGGACAGTTTCTGTGGGCTCCGTTGCTTTGATGTGTTTGAGGGTTTCATCCAGTAGAACATCACCTGTTGGGCTGTCTGACTTTAGCAGTACCTTTGAGAAAAGAAAAGCGACCCTGATTCCTTCACTTCATTCAAGTTAAAGTCTTTCAATATATCATATATATTTTACTGGTTAAGTGTTACAAGAAATGTAAGGAAGCATAATATACTGTCCCTGTCCTCAAGAAGTTTAAAATATAGTAGGGAGTGATACGAAGACAAAAATAACATTTGAAGTGAGCCCTAGTGACAAACTGGATATGAATGATAATGGAGAAAAGTTTTAGGAACAACTCATTTTGAATTTGGAAACCAACTTTTGAAACCACTAGTAAAGGTAGGAAACAGCTGAGCTTAGCGACTCATGCCCATAATTCCAGCTCTCTGGGAGGCTGAGGCAGGTGGATCACCGGAGCTCAGGAGGTGGAGACCAGCCTGGGCAACATGGCAAACCTTGTCATTATTAAAAAAATAAAAAATACATAAATAAAGGTAGGAAAGTCAGAAAAGGAAGTCAGTTTTGGGGAAAGGTGGATAATTTGGTTTTCTTTCTTTTTTGGTAAGTTTAAATGATATGAGATACCCAAGTTAAAATATCTAACCAATAGTAAAATGTTTCTGGAGGTGGAAAAACAAGACCTGCCTAGAAATTCGAAAATGAATCTCATGAGGGTGACAGATGAAGCTATAAAGGTAAATGATATCTCAAAAAGGATGGAAAATCCCTCAAGGGATACAAACTGAGACTTGGATATTAAGGAATCCAGAAGTAAGGAAACAGTGTATAGTTCAGAGAAGCAACAGTGTAAGATAACAACAAAGGCCAAGAATGGAGAAATTTTCGAAGTGCTAAAAAGTGTCAGGCCGGGCGTGGTGGCTCATGCCTGTGATCCCAGCACTTGGAAGGCTGAGGCAGGAGAATCGCTTGAACCAGGGAGTGGAAGGTTGCAGTGAGCCGAGATTGCGCCACTGCACTCCAGCCTGGGTGACAGAGCGAGATTCCATCTCAAAAAAAATAAGCAAGTAAATAAATAAATAAATAAGTGTCAAATGCCACATATAGGTTAAAAGAGAAAAATAGCCTGACCAACATGGAGAAACCCCATCTCTACTAAAAATTAGCCAGTTGTGGTGGCGCATGCCTATAATCCCAGCTACTCTCAAGGCTGAGGCAGGAGAACTGCTGGAACCCAGAAGGCAGCGGGTTGCGGTGAGCCGAGATTGCACCACTGCACTCCAGCCTGGGCAACAAGTGTGAAACCCCGTCTCAGAAATAGAAAGAGAGAAAAACAAATCGAAGACAGAAAAGAAGCTGGTGATACCTCAGAAGTAGTTTCAGTAGAGTGCTTAGGATGGTAAAGAAGTTGTGAGTGGAAAAATTCAGTAAGAAAATGGATACAGGAGTATGGCTGGAAAGGACTTGCAGTAAATGGAAGGAAACAGAAGAGTTACTGGACCTGACCCGTGAGTCCCTTCCCCACATCATACTTTATTTCATAATGTCATAGCCATATAACCATAGACATAGGGGACTTTAATCAACAGCATCCTAAGTGTAATTTTTCTTCTTCTTTTTTTTTGCCAATCAGTGTGAGCTTGTAAGGTTGCTCAGGTTAGCCTTGAACTCATGACCTCGCCTTCGCAAGCGTCACGACATCCGGCGGGAGCCACTTTGGACCCCGATTTTTCTTCTTAAAGAAGGCAGGCAAAACCATGAGCTTCCTATAACTCTTTGGACTATGGATACTTGGATTTCTCCTTCTTGCTATAGGATAATTAACCTGTTTAGACAATGGGACTGCTGAGTCAGTGATATTTATTTTATCTTACTACTCAAATCTTTCTGTTCTTCCCAAATTACTGTTGGTATTTGCCTTTCCATAAACCGTGGATGTTCACAGAAGATTCAGTACCTTTCTGTCTAGTAGTCGCTTCTTACGCATGGTTGGGGGTTCCAGATAGATTCGACCCCGCATGGCCAGCTCTATCAGGATGCCTCCTCGCAGACCAGATGATATGCAGTCATTCCAGAAAGATGTGTAACCCTAGGAAAGGAGAAAAGAGAAGAGAAAGAATGTTCTGAGAGGGATACTGACTTCCAGCAGGCACCCTAAGAACAGGCCACTTTGTACAAACCACAGTGCTTCCATTATTCATATTAAAAAAGGAAAACACTTAGAAAAAAAAAGAACAGGTCACTTTGTTGTGATTAGTTTTATATCATACCACATGAACTCAAAGCAAAGTATAGAGTAAGAGAAGAGGATGCTTCTTGAATCCTCTTAAACATCCCCAAATATTTTGTTTGACTTACAGATCATTAGTGAATTCCTATGGTTTGCTGTTAGTCAATAATTGATGTGCAATTTTTTTTTTTGAGACAGAGTCTCACTCTTTTATCTAGGTTGAAATGCAGGGGCAAGATCATGGCTCACTGCAGCCTTGACCTCCTGAGCTCAAGCAATCCTTCCACCTCAGCTTCCTGAGTAGCTGGGACTACAGGTGTGCGCCACTATGCCTGGCTATTTTGCAAAAACATTTTTTTTGTAGAGAAAAGGTCTCGCTATGTTGCCCATGCTGGTCTGGAACTCCTGGTCTCAAGCTATTCCTCCACCTTGCCCTTCTAAACTGTTGTGATTACGGACATGAGTGACTGTGCCTTGGCTTGACATGCAAAATTTTAATTTTTGAGGAAAATTTTGGCTTTTTTGAAATGTTTCCATGACATTAAATTTCAGAGTGGCGTAAAATAAGTCAGACAAAAGTAAAAACCACTTGAGCTTTTAATCTTCCTAGACATGTATTAATTTGAAATTCTTTCAATGGGAGAAATTCTGTGTTGAAATTCTACAATACAGTAGAAACCCACTGTAGGTAAGTGACTTGGGTATGTTATTTAACCTTTCTGAAACACGATGTCCTCATCTATAAAATGCAGACACTAATATGTATTTTCACAAAATTGTTGTGAGGGTTACATGAGATGCAATATAGAAGAAAGCACATAGCAGGCACTTAAAATGTCAGCTCCCCTTCCCTTTATATAGGGAATATACAAAGACTTACATATAAGAGAGCCACTGGTATTGTCTAATAGCAGCAATGTCTAATTACTAACGTCTGTTGAATACTTATTATTATGTACTAGATGTGCGCTAATCCTTACGTACTAGATGTGCGCTAATCCTTACGTACTAGGTGTGCGCTAATCCTTACGTACTAGGTGTGCGCTAATCCTTACGTACTAGATGTGCGCTAATCCTTACGTACTAGATGTGCGCTAATACTTACGTACTAGGTGTGCGCTAATCCTTACGTACTAGGTGTGCGCTAATCCTTACGTACTAGATGTGCGCTAATCCTTACGTACTAGGTGTGCGCTAATCCTTACGTACTAGATGTGCGCTAATCCTTACGTACTAGATGTGCGCTAATACTTACGTACTAGGTGTGCGCTAATCCTTACGTACTAGGTGTGCGCTAATACGTACTAGATGTGTGCTAATACTTATGTACTAGGTGTGCGCTAATACGTACTAGGTGTGCGCTAATACTTATGTACTAGGTGTGCGCTAATCCTTATGTACTAGATGTGCGCTAATACTTACGTACTAGGTGTGCGCTAATACTTATGTACTAGGTGTGCGCTAATCCTTATGTACTAGATGTGCGCTAATACTTACGTACTAGGTGTGCGCTAATACGTACTAGGTGTGCGCTAATACTTACGTACTAGGTGTGTGCTAAGCTTTTTACATGCACTGATTATATCTTCACAACAACCCTATAAAGGAGGTACTACTACTCCCGACACATTAAAGATGAGAAAACTAAGGCTTATAGAGGTTATGCAGTGTAACAGAGGGCAGAAAACCTTTTAAATAAAACAAATTTTAAGTTTTTTGGTTTTTTTTTTGTGGTGTTTTACTGATAGATCGCAGTTGTGCATATTTTGGGGTACTACTTTTTTTTTTTCTAGAGACAGGGCAAGGTCTTGCCCTGTTACCCAGGCTGAGGTGCAATGGGACCATCGTAGCTCACTGGAGACTTGAACTCTGGGGCTCAAACATTGTCCTGCCTCAGCCTCCCAAGGAGCTCAGACTACAGGCATGAACCGCACCTAGCTAAAATAACTTTTATTAAACAAAATTTAAATTTAATTTTCCTCTTTGTTTGGAAGTTATGTACTTTTAGAAGTTATCCTTAAAATTTTAATATGTATGACATTCATTTAAAATTAACATAAAACCAAAATTTTAAAAATTAATATTTTAACCACTCTTAGTTGTCTAATTTTTTTTTAGCCTCATAAATTAGATGACGTTATCATCATTATTATTTTATACAGCGAGCACTTGTTTAGATTGACACAGGTGCTTACGAATTTCTTTGCTCATTATTCCTTCTTGTGTCTCAGACTTCCTTTCTGGTACTACTTTCCTTCTTCCTAAAATAGAATTTCCTTAAGTGAAAGTCTGTTGGAAGCAGTTTCTATTTTGCTTATCTGAACCGTCTTTGTATTTCACCATCTTCCTTGAAAGACAGTTTCTCTGGACATAAAATTCCAGGTTGATCAGTTTCTCTTATCACATTAAAGATAGTATACCCTCCTCTTCCGGCTTCTAAAACAGCGGTGAGAAATTTCTCTTTCTTATTGATTGTGGTTTCTTTGGTCCTTTAAGATCTTCTCTCTTGGGATTTTGCAATTTGACTATAACATGACTGCATGAATTTGTTTATTCTGTTTGATATGTGTTCTGCTTCCTATACCTGTGGTTTCATTTCTTGGTCTCAATAACTCTCAGCTCTTAGATCTCTAAGCACTTTGGCTCTCCTCTGTTTTCCTTATTCTTTCCTTCTGGGACTTTAGTCTTTCTTATTTTAACCCCCTGTCTTTTAACCTCTCTTTTATATTTTCCATTTGTTTTTTCTATTGCTTTCTGGAGGGTTTTTTTTTTTTTTTTTTTTTCGAGATGGAGTCTCGTTCTGTTGCCCAGGCTAGAGTGTAATGGCATGATCTTGGCTCACTGCAACCTCTGCCTCCTGGGTTCAAAACATTCTTCTGCCTCAGCCTCCTGAGTAGCTGGGATTACAGGCACACATTACTAGGCCTGGCTAATTTTTGTATTTTTGTACAGATGGAGTTTCACCATATTGACCAGGCTGGTCTTGGACTCCTGACCTCAGGTGATCCACCTGCCTAGGCCTCCCAAAGTGCTGGGATTATGGGTGTAATCTACCGTGCCCAACCTCTGGAGAGTTTTTTTTTAAAAAATCTGGCTTCCAATTTACTAACTCAAACTAACCCTGAGATTTTGATTTCAACTATTTTTCATTAGTAAAAGTTTTATTTGGTTATTTTTCATATTTGCCTAGTGATTTGTGATTTTTTTGCTGTTCATTTTGTGATTATTTCTTTAAAAATGTTATATTTTTAGTCTGATTATTTTAATATGTGATAATATATGAGGTCCTTGATATCTTGACAATATCTGAGGACATTATTTGTCATCTGATTCTTCCTTGTTTGTATGTCTGATTATCACTGATTAAGATGTTCACATTTAATGCTTTGTGAATTTATGAGATTCTGGAGGCCTAAATTGAAGAAATCCTCCTCCAGAGGGAAAGATCTGCATTTGTTTCTGTCAAGAGCCAAGTACAGAGGGATTATGAGAGTGCCACACAACTGGGAGCACATTTAAGCCTAGTTTCCCCACTTTACCTCAACTATCAAGTTTATTCCTGACCAACCAATTCCTGAATCACAAGACCGATCAGGTAATTTACCCAGGGCAACCTAGTTTTCATGTCATCTTTATTGCTCACCTCTTGGATTTTAATTTTGGTGTTTGTTTGGGGGGCTCCTTGAAGATTATTTCTACTTTCCAAGGCTCAATAATACATTACAAATTAAGCTTATTCAAGACTTAATATCTGACCACCATACTGCCAGGTAGAGGACCTCTGATTCTGTTTTTCCTGCTACAGCCTGAACAATCTTTAACATCAACTGTAATGATATAATTCCCTTCCCTCATGCTTAAAAATCTTTCAAACATTCCTCTCAGCCTTCAGGATGGAGTCCAAATGGCTTAGTACGCACTCCAACTAAGTGGCTGGGGAGGCGCAGTGATCCCAGCTACTCAGGAGACTATGGCAGGAGGATCCCTTGAGGCCAGGAGTTGGCCAGCCTTGGGCAACATAGCGAGACCTTGTCTCTAAAATTAAAAAAACAAAACAAAGTGGTTATTCACTAGTCTATTCTTTGGCCTCTTTCCCCTGCTGGCCTTTGCACACACTGCTTTATCTAGAGGAACCAATATGCTTCCCTGCACAACTCCTTCATGTAGCTAAGGGTTAAGTACAGGTGTCACCTCTCCACATAATGCTCTCTACCTCCGCCCTCCGGATTGGCTTCCGCACCTGGTGTGCCTCTACAGACTTCTCTCATAACATCTATATCACGTTGCAATCGACTGGTTCTCCTGACTAGACCATAAATTCCTTAAGGAGAGAATATCCCTTATGACTAAAAAAATATTTTTGAAAGCATAAATTTATGCTTAAAAGTAAGTGTTAACCTGGCAAAAGCCCAGCTTGAGCCATCAATTTAGACATCTCCAAATTTCCTGAGGGCCTGATCTTTGACTCAAGGTTGGGATTAGCTCCCTCCCCTGCCTGCCTCATGGCCACCCCAATGCATATTTGTTTTGTTGTTTTGTCTGGGGACAGAGTATCCCTCTGTTGCCCAGGCTGGAGTGCAGTAGCACGACATCATCTCACTGCAACCTTCACCTCCCGGTTCAAGCGATCCTCCCACCTCAGCCTCCCAAGTAGCTGGAACTACAGGCGTGTGCCACCACACCCAGCTAATTTTTGTATTTTTAGTAGAGACTGGGTTTTGCCATGTTGCCCAGGCTTCTCTCGAACTCCTGGGCTCAAGTGATATGCCCACCTTGGCCTCCTGAAGTGCTAAGATTACAGGTGTGAGCTACTGCGTCCAGCCCCACTTCTCTTTAAGGAAGGGGTAGGCTATTTTTTT